TCTACACTTGCTAAAATCTTCGCCCAGTATTTTGAGGTCTCAAGTTCCCCAACACTCATTACGTTCTGCTCCCGCCACTGGCTGTCAAGTTTTGAGAAATCAAATTGTATGCCAGGAAACTTCTTTGCAATTGGTACAAGGCTTATGGGTTGTAGGTTTTGTGCATTCGAGGGGAGTAAGAACTCAGCATCCCTGTATATGCTGCTATCAGGCTCATTGAATGTAAATCTGTTTTGAATTTGAATAACAGCCTCTTTGTAGAAGTGTCTAACTGATGTTCTCAGACGGTCCAGCTCTCTTGGATCTACGTCGGTGAGTTCGCACAGTGTGTCTGTTGCACTAACTCCCAAGTATACCTTCTCAAGCGGAACGTAATGTTCTTCTCTTTGCGGATCTAGCTTTGCAGCATCAGTCGACCTGACATACTCTGGTGCCATAAAATTAAGGCACAGGTTCTTCAGCAGCCGTTCGACCTGAAAGTTTGTAAAATATTTGAAATAAATTTGTTTCATTCTTAATAGGATTTTAAACCCTAGCATGTGGTAGTCAAGGGTACATTGGTATCATACGGAGGCCACTATTTTTAGAGTTCCTTTTTACTGGTTGAAAAAAATAACATTATAATTGGGAAGAACATACCCAAGGTGCCTCTTATATAGTTGTAGTATCAAGAAATATTCCATGACACTCCCCACCCCAGGTAACTGAACTGAAATATTTGTGATTTATTATTTTTATGGAAGTACAGCACCAACAGGGGAGTGAGGTATTGATGCATTTCTACTTTGAATGTAGAGGAAAAAATAGACACATTTATATATGCTTGGAGTAGGCCTAGTTCATTTTTAATTTTCCTTAACCTGTTATTCAGAGAAGAAAGACAAACCACTGGAGCCTAGGACCATTATTTCAAAATATATTTGACTCAGTAATTGTATTTCAATGTGCAATACCACGTGAAATTATTTAAAATGTAAAAAAGATTATCAGTCCTATATGAAGGTTTTAAAAGTATAATTCTCTAACCTGAGGTTTCAATTCTCCAAATAAGGAGGCATTTGACTGGAAGAGTGTATTGAATTCATTGAATAACCCGAGGGCATACTCCACAAATTCCATCATTGCCTTCAGCAGTGGGTTGTTGAGTGTTGCAAGAACCTGAAAAGTATCATTGTTTTTAAACCATGGTACACATATGGTAGGCTATCTAACGGTTAATGGGAGGTCAATGAGGCCAATTTGGTAACTTATGCTTTTTCAGTACCAATACCTACCTATAACCTATAGCCTACAGAGTTAAAATTTTTATTAAAATTTTTATTAAAATACCGGAAATAACACTCTGATTCTAAAAATGAGAATTTTTCCCATGCAAAAGTTGGAAAACCCATAAAAATGGGAAAACCAGTGAGTTTATTTTTTACCAGAAAGGGTCCTAAACATAGGCTACTCAAATTAACTGGAAGAACTAGTTGTAGCTGGACAAGAATTTTCAAAATCTGACCATAGGCCTACTTAACCAAAACTGGAACTGGAATAGGCCTAACTAACCAAGAAAATATGGAAATCTGGGAATGCCTGGAAACATATTGGTTATCAAAATTGGTTAAATTATGTTACAAAAATATGTGTGCATTTTCCTAGGTGAGTTATACCATAGTCTGAAATATTTTTTGTTTAGGAAATCATAGCTTCTCAAACTTCTTAGACTATCAGCCTACATAGTAAGCTTGTGTGATTCGATTAAAAAACTATTTGATACCGTACCATAACTTGATTGGTGTATTAATAATTTAAAGTTAACCATTGCACACAAATGTTTTTGTTAAAGATGCATGAGATTATAAATAGTGTAGGGTGATAAAATTATTGGAAAAATAGCATTATACAATAATAACAAGAATAACAACGGAAACATAACGAGCATCAACAAGAACAAGAACAATGAGGTGAAAGTTTAACTAGGTACTTTGCAGATGCAAGAATTGACTTTGGTAACATGGTAATATGCAACAACAACAATTATAGAGTGGTAAAATATAAATAACAGTTTATAAATAACATGACGACAAGGAAGCTACAAAGACACATAACAATAATAAATAGGGAACATAAGCGTGTAAAAACCTGATAGTGAAATTTGAAAAAAAAGGTACGATCACTGATGAGATAAGCAATTGCAGTGGTGAAGGGTAATAAGCATATTCCACTCAAAAACTTCTTGTGTGGCCCTTTAAAGGCACCACCTAACTCTCCACTGACACTACACCAGTTAAACATCTTCTAAATGAAGACGGGGCCATATGACTATTATTACCAAAACCATGGACAGGAATAGATAATTATTGGACACCGTTCAGACATTCATATGTTTTTTACTAAAGCCATGCTATAACAAATGTTATTACATTAATTTCCTATTTTGAATATTGTTTACATACTTAGTATAGCCCAACTGCTGACTTTATAAAAAAGAAAATAAAAATTTGTAAAAACAATTTAACTCATTACAGACACCCGTTTTCTCATTGCAAAAATACTGGTCGAGATATTTATGTACCAGGCTGTTATATTCTTTTAATTCAATTCATTTCTACTTAATTGTTAAATTCTGACTTACCTCAAGGTGGCAATAAGTCGCTCCTCAACTGAAATTGGGCTCATTACATTGGTCGTCTTCTTGTGAAAGTCGTTTTTCAGATCCTCCACAATATGATCGACATTCTAGTGTAGTTTTTAAAAACTCAGGGTACTCTCTCAATTGTTGAAATAAGTGGTGAAATTCCCAATACTCGTATCGTTCTTTGAATATTTCATTTATTTGTTCTCTACTATCAACATTTATCAAGCAAAAACAATCTTTTCTTATTAGCCGCAGTTAGCATGGTTATAGATGGGCACTCGTACACTGATCAGTACAGAATGACAGTGCCAAAGCCGGGTGGGCGCGTCGCTCTGTCCACGCACTCTGACAAATCAGTCAACAAATTTGCTGAACATATTCAGCAAGTACACCATGACACTGAAGATGGTAGGCGTTTGGCTGAAGTAATAGGATCCCCTGTAAATAGAAGAATTTAAAATCCACAATAACCGATCCTATTAGGAAAAATGGAACGCAATTTACAATTTAAAAATAGGATATTAAATCTTGCTACAGAAACAGAAAAAAACCTATCATTTTAAATAAAAAAAACAACAAGAAAACACTCAACAAATGACATGCATAATGCTTCATGTGCACACTGGGAGGGTATGTACAAGAGGGACAAGATAAGTGATCACCTGAAATTGCCTGAAAAAAACAACTCATAACAAACCCGAAACCAGACAAATCATATCGAATGTCATTGTTTGCACCTGCCTCTGCTAATATTACAGAAGAATTTTAAGAAGAAATTTTAAATAGCATTTGATTTGAGGCCGTAATTAAAAACAGCGATTTCAGATCCCACCATCATACAGTTTACGTCAAATTTCCACGAAAATCGATGAGAGCCAAATTCTAAAACGTACGTTATTAGGCAAATGCAGGACTTTATAGTAAACTTTATACAAACATAAAAAATCTTGTTTCAGGAAAACACAAGGAAAATCCTACAAAAACATTTAACGATTGTTTTATTAAATTGTATTTTGATGACATGATAAAATCAGCTCTACAACTAGCTGGATACGACCATGCATCAGGTACAGTAGGCGTACCATCTATAGCTTACAGATTAAGCAAGCCTATCATAGATGTCTGCGAGTTGCTATTGAAAAATGCAACAGAAAAGTTTCAAGAAGAACCACAAACAACCAATCAACAGTGATTGGAAAAACTAAAACTTCAGGATTTCTTGCAATAATCCAAACAGAATGTAAATTCTATATCGGCCGAATTTGCAGGAAGACCAACAAGTTTAAGCAGGCTGATAGAAACTCATTAATGGCATTACAAAAGGATATCGTTACATTAGCTGCGTATATCCAAAGCCAGTACAGAACCATGTTGAGGCAGTTAAACACATTTCAGGTAAAACACAGCATCTATGACAACCTGATGCACTTACTGGTGAGTCATATAATACTCCTTGGTCGCAGAAGGCCGGTATACTTAAAAAAAAACTCTACTTGTAGAGCATTATCTTAACTTGGACAGGGATGAAAAGCTAATAGAAATGGCTGCATGTAAGCAACTCAATAATGAAGACATAGCTACCTGTAAGAAATTTCATATATTCCAATTAAATTCCAGGTCACTGGAAAGAATTTAGAGGGCGTGACTATTGTGCTGACGCCCAAAATTAAGACAGTGCTGGACAACCTGATCAAGGTTAGGGAGAGTGTCGGCATCAGCACACGACATGAAAAGCTGTTTTTACCTTCAGTTGAAAGATTAATAAACCCAATAGAAAGTTTAAGAATAATGAAAAAGAAAACTACAATTAAAGAACCTAAAAATCTCACTGCTAATGGGTTACGCCATCAAGCTGCAACATTCAGCCGGCTTCACTCATCACACCCCCAGTACTAAGACTTAGTGGCTAGTTCACTTGGTCATTCTCTTTTGGTCCACAAAACGAACTACCAAATACCTGTGGGTTTGTTGCAGCGTTTATGTTTATGTTTATGTTCATGGTATCATGACGGGAAACCACCCTTCGAACAAAGGTGATGACCATGAAGAGCTCCCACACACTATTACAAGTCTTGATGAAGAGGTTCCCCAAACAAAACAGACTAATTGAAGTGCTAAGGAAGACGAAACGTATCCTGAAGAAACATAACCGTTAGAAGAGGATCCCGATTATAATGTTGAAGAGGACAACGATTCGAGTGCCAATGACGCGACTCCATGTGAATTACCAACTCCTATCAAGAGAAAACAGCGATGGACCGAGCAGGAGCAAGATGTAATTTTTTCCCATTTTAGAGAAAAAAGTCTAAGCAATAATGCTGTTACCAGAGGTGAAATTTTCATATTCAGAAAAGAATATGACAATTTAATATTTACTATGACAATATCCTTCCATTTCAACCCCCCAGCTGCTCCTCATCAAGGTGGTCTCTGGGAAGGAGCCATTAAGAGTGTCAAGCATCACCTCCGCCACGTCATCGGCGATCATGTCCTAACCCTCTCAGAGTTCATGACCCTGACTACTCAAGTGGAGGCGATACTTAATTCGAGACCTCTCACACCAATGTCAAATGACCCTTCAGATGTCACTGTGCTCACTCCGGGACATTTTTTGGTCGGAGCTCAACTTGCCTCTGTTCCTGATGAAAATCTGGAAGAGGTTCCTGATAATCGCCTGAAACACTGGCATTTGGTCAAGGCCCTAAATCAACGCATCTGAAAGAGATGACAACTGCAGTACATTCACACCCTTTATGGACTGAACAAAATTCCAAATCTTCGCATTGGTGACCTCGCCTTAGTACACCTACTCCTCGTCTTTCTTGGCCGTCAGCTCGGATTGTAGGTGTCTCCCCTAGAAAGGATGAGGTTGTACGGGTCGTCCACTTGAAAACTCAACAAGGACTCTTGACTCGATCAGCTCACAAGGTTTTTCCTTTGCCTGCTTATCAACCGTAGAGGATTTGAAAAACGACTTTCACAAGAAGACGACCAAAGTACTGTGTCCAAATTTCAGTTGAGGAGCGAGTTATTGTCACCTTGCGGTAAGTCAGAATTTAACAATTAAGTAGAAATAAATTGAATTAAAAGAATATAACAGCCTGGTACATAAATATTTCGACCAGTATTTTTGCAATGAGAAAATGGTTGTCTGTAATGAGTTAAAATGTTTTGTACACATTTTTTTTACTTTTTATAAAGTCAGCAGTTGGGCTATACTAAGTATGTAAACAATATTCAAAATAGGAAATTAATGTAATAACATTTGTTATAGCATGGCTTTAGTAAAAAACATATGAACGTCTGAACGGTGTCCAATACTTATCTACTCCTGTCCAAGGTTTTGGTAATAATAGTCATATGGCCCCGTCTTCATTTAGAAGATGTTTAACTGGTGTAGTGCCAGTGGAGAGTTAGGAGGTGCCTTCAAAGGGCCACACAAGATGTTTTTGAGTGGAATATGCTTATTACCCTTCACCACTGCAATTGCCTATCGCATCAGTGATCGTACCTTTTTTTTCAAATTTCACTATCAGGTTTTTACACGCTTATGTTCCCTATTTATTATTGTTATGTGTCTTTGTAGCTTCCTTGTCGTCATGTTATTTATAAGCTGTTATTTATATGCTGTTATTTATATGCTGTTATTTATATTTTGCCACTCTATAATTGTTATTGCATATTACCATGTTAAATTAATCTGTTGCCAAAGTCAATTCTTGCATCTGCAAAGTACCTAGTTAAACTTTCACCTCATTGTTCTTGTTGATTCGTGTTATGTTTTTGTTGTTATTCTTGTTATTATTGTATAATGCTATTTTTCCAATCATTTTGTTATTGCTATTATATTGTCATGCAAAACAGTGCAATCTGCCAATGCATATCATTGTAATAATGGTGTTTCCGTATGTAATAAATAAATATGCACGTCCAGGCGTCGATGGTGTATTGAGATATTCTCTTTGATTGATAGGCCAAGCTCTCAACTCGTCCACGGAAGCGGTACTTTCAGTGTGGCATGGCTCGAGGTAAAACGTATGCTTGCGTCAATTCTACCGGTGATGGTGGTGGATGTTGGTGCAGTCTCACAAAGAACGTCGTTCTCTTACTTTTGAACGGAAGTATTATAAGTGGAATACCAATGTGTGTATTGGATTCAAAAGCAAACCAAATTTGATAACGCACCATATTTGCGTAGTGGTACAAAGTTAAGCAATGTATAATTATTCTTAAGAATAACTTTATAACGACAATCATTGTAACATAGTGTTTGGAAACTAGAATGGGTAGCTGTAATTTATTTGTTACCTCAAATTATTACTTTAATCCTATTACACAACTGAACTCTAACTAGTCTGAGACTTAATTGTTTAGTGAATATAAATCAAATGTATGCAACAGCCAAGGGGGAGCAGTTTACCTACACCTGCACGGGAGGGATTAAGAGATTAGGTCAGGTTAGAAAGAGTACAGTTGAGACAAATATTTTGCACCACACGCTCGTCGGCGTGCCAGGCACGGGAAGCAGTTTACTTTCTCCCTTCAGAACTTGCTTTGTAAAAATTAAATATTATTGCTAAATAACAAAGTGTCATTTAATATTATCGTCTTCAGAAGCAAGATTTTTTGGAGTAGTGGAACAATTTATAAGCCTTGTTCATAGTTAAATTAAATGTTTTTTTTTTTCTTTTCAAAATAGACAAACTCAAAAAATGGGATTTTCTCGTCAAAAAAACTAAAAAAAACTCGCCTTACTAAAGTTTTGACTTTTTTGTCTCAATATTGAAAATTAAATTATAAAATCTTTATTTTTCAAACAAAAATTACGTTACATATCCCTAGGTACGTCCAGGAAAATTTCAAGTTAATTTTATTTAGTGCATGTAAGTTTTAAATTGAAACATTTTAAGTTGGTTTCACCCTTCATTCAGTTCGATATACAGTATAGTTTTACCTTCATGGCAATCTCAATCTTTGTATTTTCATTAAAAAAATATAAAAAACAGTAGTTGTGTTTAGTTTTTTTTTTCTTTAATTAAAAAATCTGTGGTGTTACTATAACACTTACCATGCACAAACCAATTTCATCAACTTTAGCCACTTGTAGTATAGGTATGGGTTTCCTACGTCACATTGGTGCAATTAGTATTTAGATCGGTAATTGTTATAGGTATCTTACTGTGTCAGCACTACACATTGAAACGTGAGGTTTTCGTTTAAATTTAGTGACATGGAATAGGATAACGATTATAATTTCAGTGTTTGAAATTAATTCTGAGAGGGGAATATAATTGTATTCCCAAACAGACTAGGCCTATCCCTAGACCAGCCACAATCAAATTTCTTCAACTTACAAGCAGCATTAGATGATTCAGTCTTAATACTTACAAATTGTTTGTATGATGTATCTTCTTTTAAATTGTCTTCCAATTTCTCAAAGGATTGTTGACTTTGGCAGGATAAATTACCAAACATCTCTACATTTAAAGGTCTATCGATTGTGGTCTCATCCATTGCCGTTTTCTTCAGCACCAAATCCATTTTCGTTTTAAAGCGTACTTGGCGCTCCACCTTCTCTGTGATCTTCATCTGAATCTGATGTAGAATTTTTATGTCATCTGCAAATATTCAAAAATCAATCACTGGTAGATTGACATTTGAAAATACTGGAGTTGTTTGATTTAGTAGACATGTTTGTATTTTGTAAATTACTTTTTATTTGCCCAAGCTAATATTAACATAATGTCTCAGCAAAAGCTTACCTATTATTGGTGCTTACCTTTAGATACTGGAGCAAGTAAACAACCTGAAAACTAGGTCATAATAGTATAAATTTGCACATTGGCTCTATAGGCCCTCTAGCCTCCTAGCTCTGAGTATATGTTTACTTACTTTGTGTAGAGCTTTGCCGTGTGGGAGATCTAAATGATTGTGGTGTGCAGATATTTGAGGCTGACTGTGACTGGAACAATGGGGAGGACAAGTTCATACATGAAATCGTGTTGCCAATCTCTTGGCTGCAAAATCAACCGATACAGGAGAAAGATAGCTGAACGAGGCCACTCCTTGTTTCCCTATAATAATAAGGGGCTCCCTTTGAACATCTCCAATGTTTACAGAGTGGTCTTCTTTATCATCGAAAAATAATCTTTTCTTTTTTCTTAATGCCTTGTTTCTCTTGGTCTCATCCTCATCCTCGGACGAGAGATTTGAAGTTTCTTCGGCCTTTGCAAGCGCCCGTTGCGCTTCTGTAAGGAAACCTAAAACAATATAAAAAACGGTATCATAGGTATTTTTAATCGTCCTAAATCCCTGTGCTAGAAAGAGTTTAATTTAGCAATTTTGATAGTTATTTATAATATTCACGCAGAAGCAAGCCTGCAGATTAAGCGAATTTAAATTTGCCTGTTTTGATTTTCAATTAAATCTATTTCAATAACATAAGGTTTAACGAGTAGATGTTTCAATTTACAGAGAGAGAAATAAAGCTGATTAAATAAACATTTTATAGGTTAATAAAAAATAGGCCTAAATAAATTTACCTGCTTGATTAAACTATATCCATTAACAAGGAAACTACAACAGTTCACTTATTCTCCATAAGAATAACATTAAGGTGAATTTTTTTGTATTTGATCCGTAAATTTTAAGTGCGCAAAAACACTTCAATATCATAAATTATAATTTTTTAAGCCCTTCAAAAGAGGTTCAAAGGGAAATTGGGATATTTTATGTTTTGAGGGTAAAAAACGGTAAACAAATTTGTTTACCCCATAAAATCCTGTTCACGTGGTTTTATCACGCTGGTTCGTGCACTCATTTCAATAAACATAGGTTTACACGTTTGTACCCAATTTAATCAAAATCAGATCTGAATTTTCTCCTATTTGGAATGTTGATTTATTCCTACAGTATACCTCTATCCTCTTGGTACTGTCTAAGTCTTGGTACTGGGGGTGTGATGAGTAAAGCCGGCTGAATGTTGCAGCTTGATGGCACAACCCATTAGCTCCTCCCAACTTTATTAGCCCACTTTTCTTTTAGAAGCTCTAAAATGTTTTATAGTTTTTCTGTTGCTGCAAAATACTAGTTGGCATTTCATAATGAATTTTGTGAATGTGTAGTGTATGCCCCAAGGCACTAGCGAGATAATCCTGATATTGTGGATGAGACGAGTGGAGCTTGCTCCATGTACCTGCATGGTGCCTAAGTCCATTCCCGCTCATATCAAGCGGTTTATTGAGCTTCAGATTCTTCGTAACTTTCCTAATACTTTCCGTAGGATTTATTGGCATCTCCCGGGCTCTTACGAAAAGCATCTCAGATGCAATACCAACATTCTTTTTGTTGCTTTGCACACAATCCATTGTCTCTTTCATTATATTGGTAAGTGCAATTGGCACGAGTTCCTTCCACCCTTTTCCTGGCGCGTAAAAGATTTTGATTTTCTGGCATAACTCCATGTCTTTATCAGAAATTGACATGTATTTGCTATTCTTTACTTCTGAAATCAAATCTTTCTGTTTGTCTATTTTTTCATAATGTAGATTAAAGCCTCTTTTAAAATCTACAGGTCGTCTCTTTATCAAGCAAATTATATGGGTGACAAGTAAGTCCAGTAATGCATCGTAGTTGTCCCGCTTGGCAGCTGATCCAGGCGGCGAATTTTTTAATTCTGAAATTACTTTAAGCTTTTTAATTTCTCTATTACTTTGCAGA